GAGATGTGATGAAAGAGACCTGAATTTTGTTACATTCAGATTTTATTAACACTTGGATTTACTGCAAATTGAAGGAGTCAAATTTTAAATGTCGAAGACTCTTATCTCATAAAATGGTGTAATTAATGCTTGTTGAATACTGACTATGATAATTGATATAGGACCAAGTTAACACGCAAAGGAAAGAAATTGTCAAAGGGCAGAACTAGAGGTGGGCATTTAGGATTGGGTCCAAAAACCTAGTCCTAGGTCTGGTCCTTTCCTTGAAGGTTTAGTCCCCAAACGGGATACCTAAGGAGGAGGGCTCGGTCTCACTATTGGGCCAAAATCTTTTTAATCAATTTTTTTAATCTTTTGTATAATTGTATAAAACCCCCTAAAAATTATGAAATAAACATAAATAAAATTTTACAAAATTAAAAAAAAAAAAAATTTACTTTTGTTTAATGGCAGCCAACGGTCATTTGCGGTGCAGAAGGTTTTTTTTTTTAATTTCACCCCCTCCTCGGCCCCCCCAATTACACTATAAATAACCCTAAAATCTCTCATTCTCTCTATTCCAAATCTCCAATCAAATTCTCATTCAATTTGTATTTATAATTTATTTATTTATTCAATTTTTTATAATTTTCAATATCATCTCTTATTCATATAATTATTTGCGAGTCAACGGGCACAAGCATAGCCTAACCCCTCCTCCCCCCTCTTTCCAACCGTCAAAGAGGGTCGTGTCCAATGTATGGCAACATTTCACCAAATCAAAACGGCCAAAGACAAATGGGGAGGGGGAAGAATCGTGTAGGGTATGTAATTTATGTGGAACCATTATTGGCGCTGAGAAGGGGACTTCGACGATGCGACGACACTTGAAGAAAAAGCACCCCCTAATAATGCAGCTGCCCGGTACATCCTCAACTGGATCAGGTAGACAAATTCAAACTCAACTTAATTTTAATCCACAATTCTCAACTCTCTCAACATGACAATACAATGCACATGTTGCACGAGAGGAAATAACAAGTTTCATAGTTGCTACGGACTCTCCCATTTGTTTATTTGAAAATCCTTATTTTATTCACATGATTAAAACTGCATTTTGTCAAACATATACCCCTGTTAATAGAAGTACAAGTAGAAAAGATATACTAAAACTTTATAACAAAATAAATAATAAACTTAAAAACGAATTTCAAAATTTTAGGAATATATCTATTGCACTTACATTAGACATATGGGCTTGTAGATCAAAAACCAATTTTTTAACTGTCACAGTATATTTCTTAGATCATAATTGGGGTTTACAACAAAAATGGATGGGTTTTAAACCATTATATGAAAACATAATGCTGAAACTATTTATTTTACAATTCTTGAAGTTTTTCAAGAATACCTATTAATTGATAGAGTTGTAGCGCTAACGCTTGATAATGCAGCTGCTAACACCGTGGCAATCTCTTTATTTGAAAAGAGATTGGATCCGCGTGGTAAAGACAAATTTTTTCATCAGATATGTGTTTGTCACATCATCAATTTGATAGTTAAAGCAGGTTTAGATGCTATACATTCGAAGATGGAGAGGGTGCACACGGTTATCGGATTTATCGTCGGCGGTTGAAATAAAAGATGACAATAGTACGTCAAATATTGTAAGCAAGAGGACCCACCGGTTCGACCTTTGAAGTTATATACGGACATGCCTATCCATTGTAACTCCACATATTTAATGTTGGAAAAAGCTTTGCCAACCGCAAAACAAATTATAGATTTCGTCAATCGGAAGCACTATCCAGAGGAAGTTGTCAACTATGATGATTGAGTGGTTTGTGAACTTTTTTATTCATTTCTTAAATTTTTTTATGATTCTACTAATACATTAAGTGGTATTTATTATCCGACTACTAATTTAGTGTTAGATATTTTACTTTAAATTGCTAAAACTTTTACTAAATATAGATATAATAACGTTTTAAGGGAAATTGTTTCAAAGATGGAAGAAAAATATGAGAAATATTGGTTAGATATTCCATTTTTATATGGATTAGGCCTTGTTGTAGATCCTAGGTTTAAATTACACGTAGTTAATTTTATAATTACTGAGTTAGGCCAACATTTAGGACATGATTATACGTCTTATTTGACTGACTTTAAACAAAAATTGGATAACATTTTTTTTCTTTATATGAGAATAGATATAATGGAAGTGGAAGTGGAACGTTCAGGAGAGACGATCATGACCATGATGCAGACCTCTGTCAATGATCGAGCAAGTGGACGTATATGGAACATGGCGGAAGTAGCAGCTTCAACTCGTACATACATGGACCAAATTAGCTGAATCGCTACCTACAAGTGGACTTGTCCTTCATGACGATGAAAAAGAAACGTGACATGGATATTCTTCAATGGTGGAATCATCATGAAAGTTGATTCCCTATTGTAGCCCAAATGGCACGTGACATTTTATCTATGCCGGTTTCTACAATTGTATCTGAGTCAACATTTTCAACGAGTGGCTGGATTGTTGAAAACAGAAGATGTTCTTTAACCGATGAGATGATTGAAGTGATAACATATTTGGGGGATTGGACTCATGCAGAAAGAAGACTACAACAGCACCTTGAAGATCCCGAACTACTCAAACTCTTTAGAAATACAGATTTGAATGATGTAAATATTGTTGACGATGAAGATGAATAATTTAATAAAAAAAAATTATTTAATTGTTTATTTGTGAAACATGAATGTGTGAAATGTGAATATTACATTTATGTTAAAATTAACTATTAATTTGTTTATTATTTTGTTATTTTTTTAAATTAATTAAACTTTTAGAAACTTACTAATCTACCCCTGAAAAATACTAAAAACCCCCTACAAAATTTCATTTCGCCCCTAAAATATAAAAAAAAAAAAGATTAGGGGGGAAAAAGAAAAATTTCAAGCCCATAGGACCAGTCCGGGTCCTAAAATTGCTCATGGGCCTGGGAACCGGGCCTGCTTGGGACTGGTCCTTGACCACCTCTAGGTGGAACTACTCTTATAGAGCTCGACAGTAGGGTTGTTCATAACCAGCGAACCAACTTTTTGGACCAAACTGGTTTTTTAGTTTAGTAATTTTCCTGAACCAAAACCGAATTGATTAAGGGGAAAACCGGTTAATAAAAACAGCTTAACTGGTTTTCCCTTTAACTTATTTTTTATTTTGATTTTTTTCCTAATTTAACTTGTTTTTTATTTTGAGAGGAAGGAGAAAGGTGAAAATCGATGAGGATTGAGGAGAAATGCGTAAAAAGGTGAAGAGTAAAGAGAAAAGGATTTGGGGATTTAGGGTCTTTTTTTTTCTTTCTAATTTTAAAGTTTTTAAAAATTTCTTCAAACCAGAACCAAACCAAATTTCCAGTTTATATATTTTCTAGATCCGAAATCGAACCAATTTTCTAGATAATTAGAAAATTGATTCAATTACTGGTTCGGTTTGATTTGTTTTTTTTTTTTTTTTTTTTTTAACTCTTAAGACTAGTTATGCATGGCCCATATGGCGAAAGCCCATAAGGGGTGTCCAGTGGGCCAATATTAGAAAGTCAAAATCTGAATAGGGGCCACAATGTCGGCAATGTCTTAATCTTTGAGCCAAGTGCGTTCCCTCTTTCAGCCATGAGTTTGGTGGTGCACATCATTGCACCTGCACTCACAAAGTGGTTCGTGTTTATATACAAATATAAACACTTGGCATAGGATTCTTAACATCGAACCGTTGCTCGCCTTTGGGCCTATAATTAAATATTTTGGTCATAATCAAAGGCCCACATTAATCACTTCATAATTACACTTAATTAAGTCACTAAATTCACATTGAGACAAACCAAGGGATAAAACCACACGTACATTTAGGAAGTGTTAAGGTTACGCGCACTAGAACACTTTTTGAAGCCTTACGCACTAAGCAAAAAAGCAAACCTTATCTGTTTCTCATGGGATAGTTACCCTTAAATCCCTAAGGTTTAGGTTAATAACACTTTAATCCATTTGAATTGGAAAGCGCCATCTCCTATATGTAACTATAAATGTAGAGATAGTTACATGGAAGAAGTGAGAAATAATAGTTTTTGACTATATAGATGCATATGAAGGGACTCGAAACTTAAGTCCTTTCATATGCATGACTACCAATAAAATAATAACAAATGCTGTCAGTTTTCAAAACCATGATAGTTTTCTTTTTTTTGTTTTTTGATCATCGAAGCTATTCAGACTAATTTACATACATCTTAACTATTCTCTTAGGACCTTATAACTGTTATCCAGAGAAAAATCTCAATGACTACCTTTATTAGTGTCTAAGGGGACTCAAATTAAGAATCTTATAAAACATATTTTTACTTTTTTACTATCAGGTCACTCAATGGTGATTAATTGATTATCATAATGACAGTTATGAGTTGATTACATTTTTTTTATTATGTCAGTAGAGTGCATTTGTGAGACGGTTTTATATTAGGATTTCTCTTTTAAACAAGAATAGAAAATAAAACTTGAGAGCCCACCCCACCCGTGGTCATTATACAAGGATCGAAATGTTACTTTTATGATTTTAGTAGACAAAAGTGAAATTCAACATTAGGGACATAAGTGTAATTACAATTTCCCATGTGTGAACTCAAATCTCAAAAAGTCATCGAAGCTCCTAGAAGACCTTCTAGATAATGTCCAAAAAAATCAAAATCAGACACTAAGCTTCACGCAGCCCACGAGTCACTATCTCACTCGCTCTTTTCTCTCTTTCCTCTCGCTCTTCTCCATCTTCCGCCATGTCCCCACCTTTAACCGCGTTTATGCCGTCATCACACTCGTATTCGCTCTGAATTTATCCTCCCCACCTCCCAAAAAAAAAAAAAATGAAAAAAAAATTTCTTTAATCTTCTAGTGACTTGGTTTTAACCTTTGACAAATCCACACGCAAACTTAGTACTATTCAATTGCCATCCGCCCTCACTTTCCAGGAAATTTCTAAATGGTCTTAATCTAATCTCACCTTATTTAACTCTCACTTCGTCACCCACCCTCTCTCCCATTTCACAACCACTTTAACTTTAGTTTCCTCTCTGGTTTCTTCCCTATTTTGAGCTTCTTCTGTTTCTTATTATTTATACATATAACGCGTAAATAAGCAATACCCATTTCGTTTTTTTTTGTGTTGGAAGTGAATTTCGGTGTTTCAGATGGAGAACAATCAGCAATCGTTTTGGCAGTTCAGTGACCAGCTCAGGCTTCAATCGTCTAACTTGGCTAATCTGTCGCTCAATGATTCGATTTGGAGCAACAATTATGGGTCGAAGAGGCCCGATGAGAGGAGGAATTTCGATATAAGAGTCGGCGGTGAAGTGAATTCACTCAATAATAGTTTGAAGCCGACGCAAGTATCCGATTTGAATGGGTTCAACGATGCGTACAAGATGGGCATCAATGATGGGTATAAGATGGGCATCAACAACAACAACAACAACAACAACAACAGCAACAACCTCAACAGTAATTATAATATCAACGATTTTGGTTTGGGTCCGATTGGTCCACTTGTCGGTGGCGCATCTCACAAGAACGTTGGAATCAATGGAGGATTTAACAAAGGGATTTATTCAAAGCCGGGAAATTTTGGTCTTGCTAACAACAATTATATGAATGTTAATTTGAAGGGAAAACAAAATAAGGAAGAATATGAATTTGGAGGCAAAGGCGGCAAGAAAAACGGCCACAAGAAGAATCAGAACAAAGATGGTGACAACAACAATGAAACCAAGGAGAAAAATGCAGCTGATAAGAGGTTTAAGACACTGCCACCATCGGAAGCTTTGCCCAGACATGAAACTATTGGCGGTTATATCTTTGTCTGCAACAACGATACTATGGCTGAGAATCTTAAGAGAGAGCTCTTTGGTATGTTCTTTTATAACTATACTATTATTATCTTCCCATATTCCAGGGATTTATATTACATGAAAAAAGATCCTTCGATCTTTCGGATCTTCGTTTATAACTTTTTTGTTAATTGTTTGTAGGTTTGCCTCCACGTTACCGCGATTCAGTGCGGGCGATAACCCCAGGCTTGCCCCTTTTCCTCTACAACTACTCCACCCACCAACTCCATGGAGTTTTTGAGGTTAGTTTCTTGTCTCTCCTGTTTCAGTTTATTTACAATTAGTATGATTTCGGTAACTATTGAAAGATCTGAAACTTCTTGTTTGCGTAATGAATTGGGATCTGTTTTAACTTTAGGATGAAGATCAGTTTAGCTTATTGTTTCCTTTAAATGTTTCAATGAGTTGTACATATTTGATTTATATCCATTTGTTCTGTTTGATTAGGCTGCTAGTTTTGGCGGAACAAACATTGATCCAACAGCCTGGGAGGACAAGAAATGCTCCGGCGAATCACGCTTCCCGGCTCAGGTAAATTTCCTGTTGATCTCTTTGGATTGTCTTCAGATTAATTGCAGGTCTTTAATCTTTGTAGTATATTTCATTTGTTTCCTGTTAACATCTTTGTTTGGGTACAGGTCCGAGTTTTCAAAAGAAAAAATTGTGCCCCACTGGAAGAGGACTCATTCAGGCCAATTCTCCACCACTATGATGGCCCCAAGTTCCGCCTTGAACTTAATATACCAGAGGTAATTTACATGACATGCTCTGCAACTCAATGAAAACAAATTTGTTATGTTAATGGGAATTTACTTGGCGTTCTAATTTTATCTTCTTGTTTATTGTTTTACAGGCTCTTTCACTCTTGGACATATTCGAGGAGCAAGACCCTGAAGCAGTTAACCAAAACCCAGCAATCCTCTACTAATACAAATACACCAGATAGTGAAGAAATAGTCTCTGTTGAAACAATGCAGAGAAAGAAGAAATAGAGTATGGATTTATAATATTGTGGGAAGAGTCCAGAGGGAATTTGGAGGAATTAAAGGATGATGTATACACGGCCTTCTAATGTATAACTTTTTCCTGAGGCTGTTGTTGTGTTTGCCCTTTACGTTCTTCTGTTTGGCTTATACATAAATAAGTTCAAATCATAGAAATATACTCATGTAATCCTATTACAGTTTCATTTGCCGTATGAACTATGAAAGCAAATTAATAAGTTTTGTTAATCAAAGTTTCTTGATCTCCTCTATAAGTTTTGAAATTTGAGTACCCTTCAATTAATTAGTTAGGAATTAGTTGAGAAAGCAGCAGGGTTGGTTGAGAAATTCATGGTTAAGCTGTTTTACAAGTTGGGATGAATGAGGAGACTATTTCAGAAGGGGGTGGTTAGAACTTTGACGCCATTGATGAACTTGAAATCGTGCTAAATCATGGTCTCATCAACTCGGTAGAAAGAGTCCTCAGAAGTCTGAAGTGGGTGGCGTTTAAATCTTATTATTATTTCTTGGCCTCACCCACCACCGAGTGACGTTGTTTAATAGAAGACGGTGGATATAATGTGTGTATTGAATCAGATGTTCGTTTGGATAAGAAGGAAGAGATTACCCCGTCTTCTGAAAAACTAAAGAAGTTTCGAAGTGTCCTGAGCCAGTTTTGGAATTAGTAGTTACGTAATTAACCAAGTCAATGAACTGACTTATTCGACACTACAAATCTTATACTTTAATTTATACCAAACTAACTTAGGTCGTTTCTTATCCTCGGTAACAAAATTTCTTCAACTTGGACTAGAATCGAAACTGGTCCGTTACTTATTTCTGTTTTTCACATTGGACTATTCCTAATATAATAAGTAGGAGATTAATTAAACCGAGGTGCACGAGAAGTCTTCGTCACGGCGTATTTGGCCTCTTCTGTCTGTGGGGTGTCAACATTAACAAGACAAAAAAAAAAAAAAAAAATATACTTAAACCTAGAATATTATAACACTAATAATAATTAGGATAACATATTGATTTGAAATATAAATAAAATTTGAAGGTTTTTATAATGAAGTAGGGAACAAGAATATATGATTTTATCTCCAATAACAATAGGTTGGGGGTTTCTCTATCACCTTATGTAATACGTGGGTGATAATCCTCCATTTATTAATATAGGTCCAGATATACAGTTTAAAAATTGTGGGTACATTTCAATTTTTCAGTTATATAAAGTTATAAAGTAAAGATAAAGTAATTTATATAAATATATATAAAATGAGAGCTAAATCCACTAAGGGTCCATAGCTCAGTGGTAGAGCATTTGACTGCAGATCAAGAGGTCACCGGTTCGAACCCGGTTGGGCCCTTTTTTTAATTACTAATTTTTTTTTGCCATTAAAATATAAATTACACCTTTAACATTTACAATTTTCTTTCTATCTAAAACTTTTGTTTTTTGTTTTTAGCAACTGAGGTATCCGAGCACAGTTTCCAGTCGAGCCTGTTTAATCCCTAGAATTACGAAACACTTTACAAGATCAATAAACCAAGGTAATTGTACAAATATAGTGAATCTCTCTCCGATTACTCGAACACAATAAACTTTTTACAACCCAAATACTGAAAGTCAACAAATTCATACAATGGTAGAAAATGAAAATGTATAAAATCCAACCACAATAAACAAAAGAAAGCCCACTAAGCACAAGCAGGACAATGAGCTAACCCATTCTCATTACACTTCCCACACCTCTCTTTTACTCCATCCACCACAACCTTACAGCTTCCACCACATTCCAAACACGGCACAAACCTCGCCCCTCCACACCCTTCACACGCTTGTCTCCCTATTCCTGTTTCCAAACGCCCCGCTCTCACTATCCTCCCCAGTTTCCCTGTCTCGTTCAACTCACTCAACTCTTCCACTCCTCCCACGTATCTCCCCTTCATGAATACCCTCGGTACGCTCGCTTCTTCTTCTCCCAATAACTCCCTCAGCTCCTTCAAGAACTCTCCGTGCAACGACACGTCTCTCTCGTCCGTCACCACGCGGTGCACCTCGAATATGTTCAGCACGCGCGCGCAGTCCTCGAATGTGCGGCGGACTCCTCTCAACGACGTCGTGTATACCACCACTGAGTCTGCTCCGCCTGGTGGACACTTCTCTGGGAAGTCGCTTAATGGGTCTCGTCGGAGCTTTTCGAAAATTGCTTGCTTGCCTTCTTTTTCTTTCTCGAGTCTGTCTTTGAGGATGAATATGTTCTCTTTCACTGGCTTATACCCTCCTCCTCCAATTTCAACTCGTGGCTCGGACTTGTTTGGCTCGTTATTAATCTTGTTGAGCTCGGGCTTTTTTTTGTTCGTCTCTTCTGTACGCATGGACTGAGTTTTTTTCAGTTCTTTATTAGCTGGCTTTGACGATATCTTCTCGTCGAACTCTTCAAGTGTGTGAAAAGATGCGCTCTTTCGCGGTGGGGTTGGCCTTTGCATGGCGGTTTTAACGGGCGGAGCCGGTTTAGTTGGTGACTTGGCAGTGGTATCATTATTAATGGTGGGCTTTAGGTCTTCTAGAGCTTTGCTAACCTCGTCCCACGAATGAGGAGCATCAGTTTCGAACTTGTTGAGCTTCTCGAGAATTGAAGCAGGCACGTGCGTGGGTTTCTCTTGGTTTTCTTGAGATTTATCATTGCCCCCCGTCAGCCATGGCTCTTGTATGGCGTTGATATCGAACACAGCAAAACTGGCGGGAGCTGGACGGTAGACATCAACGCCGGTGGCCGCCTCAATTCGTTTTGATGATGCACAGCCCATTTCGTGGCCCCTAAGGCTTTAGAATGTGTTGAGCTTCGAGTGTTTTCAGAAGAGGCTTAATTGATGGCGCATGCGAGAGATTTGGTGGCAGTGATAAAGAGGTTTATCCCGTTAGCGATTAAGTTTTAAGCCTTAGATTCACGTGTGGTGCTCAGCTTAGCCAGGTGGACTTGAAGAATGTCTTCAAGTTACGAGTGGCTGTTTATGAGTTTCGAGCAGGGGGGCTTTGTCATATATTTATTCAGACAAAAAATTGGCTGTGTGGATTGAGATAATTTAGGTTAACCAAATAGGAAATTAATTTCAATGCAATAATTGCATTGGCCTATGTTGTGTGCGAATTTGCCGCAAGCTTGAAAGGCTTAGTGTACAATTGCAAAAATCACATGATGTATACCAGGTCTTATCTCTTTTTCCTTTGTAAAAATCGTATAGCCCCAAAAACAATGCAAAAAAGGGTTAGAAAATTGTTTTAGACAAAGGCATATTATTTGTAACTCACAAAATCAATAAGAGAAATGGTGGACGTATGTTTGAGATATAGCTCACCTAACCACTTTAAAAAAATCCTTTTGTGTTCATTTTTTCAATTCTTTTACTGTTTATTATTGATTCTAATAATCACGTACACATTTATTTCGATTTTGTTAGGGTTAATTGGATCTATTTAGTTGTTGCAGTTTTCTGTAGCAACAGCCTAGATTCATTGAATAAATGAAATCAAGATTTTGGTAGAGCACACTTACAGTAACTAAAGAGAAAGAAGGATAGAAGTAGAAATGTTGAAGGGTGGTTGGAGGATCGGCCGAACTTTGAGCACGATTTCATGGGCTTAATTGGACTTAATTGATGCTGAATTTACCTAGCTCCCAAGAACATGAATAGTTGTGGAACATGTACAAATTTTGTCCATATTTTGGGCTCAACTTCAAAATTCAAAAGAATCCCGAATTTTAGGTTTTCAGTTGGTTTGGTTTAGCAGGGAATCCAGCACAGAGTAAAATGCATAGCCCCTAGCCCTGAAATTTGAACTGCTCTGTTTCTAGTATGTCGTTTTCTAGTATTTTTAATCCAATTATTTTATTCTTCTCCCTTGGATTATTATCAGTTTTTCTTAATTCACCCTTGCAACGGTCTATTATCACATGGCGCCGATTAAATTTTCGATATAATGCATCACCCTAATGTCTCTTCTGACACACCGCAATTGTCTCTCCACTATATTTTGCCAAAGATTCTGCAGTTTATATACAGCTTAAGAGCTTGTAACAATCAGCAAAAATTTCGTAATGGGTAATTGTTCTTTCAAAGGGATAGCTGATGGCTTCCCAAACAGCATCCGGGTTTTAACCGATTCCGGGACTATACTTGAGTTGAAGAGCCCGAAACTAGCTAGAGAAGTTCTTGAAAACTATCCAGGCTATGGCATTTTCCCTCGAGGCCATGCCTCATCACCATTGGCTGATCATGAACGCCTCGTTAGCGGCCAATTTTACTATCTTCTTCCCCTGGAAAAGCAGCAAAAACAACAGGTACAGGTAGCTGAGAAACTAGACCTCAAATGGGTGGAGCAGATGGAGCCACCGAAGATGTCTTCTGCAGATTTTGTTGACAGTTTGGCAAGTGGGTCAGCTTTTGAAGTGCTGCCATCGCAAGGAAATGGTGTTTGGAAAGTGAAGTTGGTGATCAGTACAAAGCAGTTGGAGGAAATTTTCTCGGAAGAGGTTAACACAGAGGCCTTGATTGAGAAAATGAGAATGGCTGCTAGCTCAGCTAGCCTCACGCCCAGGCGGACCAAGAACTCTTGGGTGGTGGGCTGGAGGAAGCCAGCACTTTTCAATGTGTTCAAGGTGCCCACTGAGACTGGGAAATAAGGCTCTTTAAGCCGCCAGGTTATCGCAATCTTAGCTATGGATTAACGAAGGCATTTTCCAACTCTTCACAGCGATTTGGTCAATTTGACCAGGCATTATGTATATATGTAGAAAGGAAAGGAAGGAAAATGGGGATTGCCGTGCTTGGCTTTTAGTTTTCTTTAGAATTATGTATAATAATTCTATTAAGGGTATTGTTTCTCCTTTTGAAACAATTAAGTTTTTCAACACTCTGCGGACTTTAATTCTAATTCTAATTCTAATGTTTAATTTATGTTTGTGGAGTCTATTCAATCTATCTATAAGCAGTACTAAAGGGTTTCCATGTCTAGCTGTTAACATAAATCACATAGCAAATTGTAAGTCTTAATACATGCTTGCACTGATCAGAATCCATATCAGTTCTAACAGGCGATGATCTGCCACCCAACGATGAGTGGTGATAAANAGTAAGTGAGGGATGAAATAATGAGTTAGTGACAGTGATGGAAGGGCGTTGAGTTTGATGAGGCGTTGGCACTGAGAGAAGGGCTGTTGCAGCCATTCTCTTCTTCTTCCTCCTCCTCCTCAGGCTTGTGTTCAAAATACAGGGAATGGATAACAGCCACTAACTACCGTTTGTATTTTGTTGTTTCAAATGTAAAGCTAAACTTTAGATGAGATTCATGTTCCGTATTCATAGTCGTTCTCATTCTAAATCCGAAGACGACATGTCGGATTCATAGTCCAATGTCCTAACCACTGTTTTAAAACCCGGACAAGAGGGCAATCCGCTCTGCTGCCCGAGTCATGAGTCAACCAATCCAACCGGTTGATGATGTGCATGATGATGTCAGCACATAAAAAAAACCTGTTTTGTTTTTTTATTTTAAGATTTCCATTTTTTAATAAGACAATAACAACTTAATTACTGTCCAACATGATTCAAAGTTCAAATTCAATAACAATCTCAACATAATTTAAGTATTTAACAACAATCTAAAGTCCAAATCCAAACATAATGTTGTATTCATTCATTGTATATTAAATGACAAAATATATAATAATTAATAACAAAACATTTGGTGCAAGTGTTTTTTCTTTGATCCGTCTCCATGTTGGTTGAGCTTCACACACTAGTATCAAAATTCATCACCATCATCATCATCATAACCGTCACCGTCATCTACGTAAATTTCAGTAAAAAATAGAAATCATAAGTTAAAACTTGTAATTTAATTTAAAATAGATACTAAGTTGCTTAAATATTTGAAACTAACCTTCTGAACCATCGGTTGAATCATAAAAAGAAGGGTGGTCAGCAACTCTAGCAAGAATAGATCCTTCTCCATATAACATTTGTTCAAACTCCTCGTAATTAAGATCACTAACCTCCTCTTCATCGTCAACTATCCAACCTTCAGTTTTGTCGATACTTTCATAATCAATAGGATCGAAACTTATTCTCTTGTAACACCTCTAAAATACTATAATGAAATATTAAAAGCATGACAAGTAAAATATCAAGGAAAATAATAGATAATAACAATAAGAGTGATGCATAATTGTGTAATTGACAATGTTTTATACATGTTTTGCAAACGCAAGTTATAGTGAACAAAAACAAGATCATTCAACCTTTGATGTTCCAATCTATTCCTCTTTTTAGTATGTATGCGCTAAAAAATACTCCAATTTCGTTCACATCCCAAAGAGCTTAAAGTTTGGCTAAGAATTTTTATTGCAAACTTTTGCAAATTTGGAGTACTATACCTAAATGATCTCCACCATTCATCTAATTGAAAATTAAACATAATAAATAAATTAGACTTCAAAAACAAAAGCACTCATAAATTTTATAACTATTACATACCAGGACGTGTGGTTTTGGAGGTTTCAAGAGCAAGCCCACGAGAAAAGCTTTCCTCTCGGTTTGAATATAATATACTCTCTTCCATTAACCTTGTCTTGTTCAAATTGAACGCACTTGCTTTACTGTCAATAGTATCAAGGAAACCACTCATGACTTCTGGCTTGGCGCAAAAAGATGCTTCGTCATATTTAAAGGCAGGATTCAAATAATAAGCCGCAGCATGGATATCACGGCGCAACGTCCTATCCCAATGTAGCTTAATGATTCTTGTATAAGGCTTGTACAATATCTTTTTATTCTTAAACAACTTCTTAATTGCATTTTTCACTCTGCACATGTCATCATACATATATCCTATTGTAGGCTTCTCATCTGAGTCAACAATCCGCAACAAGCGCATCAATGGACTCACAGCTTTGGATATCTTACCCATATCATCCCAAAAATCTTTATCTAGAATTATGTCAATAACATGTTTGCCTTTATTACTTTTTGCATATCGAGAATCTACAAATGACTTATCTGTCACTATGGCTTGCAAGTCATGTTTTTGCTCATGAAGGCTTCTCATTGCAATGAAAGTTGTAGCAAAACGGGTTGCGTAAGGACAAACAATTTCTTTCCAACCCTATTCAATTGATAAATAATAGATGTTAGTCAATTATAAAAAATGCATATTATGTTATGGCTTGACAAGAACATGAGCTAAAGGTATATTATCTGTCTTTTCCTCAACCAAGCTATCAAGAATGTATGATTATATACAAATTTCGTCACCTTAGAAGCACGTCTTGCAAGATAAACTATGTGATCCATCTCAGTTATGTCTTTTAACACCAAATTTATGCTATGTGTTGCACAGGGTGACCAAGTAATATTCGGATATTTCTCAAACAACATTCTTTCAGCAGCTTTATAATTTGATCTATTGTCTGAGACAAAATGGACAATACTATTTGGTTCAATCCATAAAGCGACCTCCTCAAACATCTTCAACAATGTCCCAGCATCTTTCACAACATCTGAAGCATCAATTGATTTCACAAAACAAACTCCCTTAGGACAATACACCATAAAATTGATCAATGACCCATGTGAATTATCAGTCCAACCATCAACTATTAAGGTACATCCAAAATTTTCTCAAATCTTTTTGTAACTATCAACAAGAAGCTGCACTTCCTTCTTAGCATCTCTTAACAAATTGACATGCAAACCATGATAATTTGGGTGTTTATACCCAGGCCCAATTGCAGCTATAGCATCCACCAAAGGTTGAAGATAAATTGAATTTACAGCATTAATTGGGATGCAAACATCATAAAAGAATCTTGCAAAAGTCATGTCTGCTCTCCACGTCGTATCTTTTCCAGCTAAACAACTCCTAATTAATGGTTGAGATCCACCAATTGTCCTTGGAGCAAAATAGTCACCAACCCCAATAGATTTTTTTCTTTTTGGTTTACCTAGCATTGTACTTTGTTTTTTACTGCCAAACCTACTTCATTTATGTGAATTTCTGATGGATGAAACACTTCACTATCTTCATTAACATATCTCCCTCAAATCCATGTACAGGAGCACCGTAGGGAGTATTATACTTACTAGAATTAGTCTTCTCTTTATTCTTTATCCCAATGTCTTTTAGTGATTCTCTCATCAAGTATTAAACATCAAAATGAACTTTTAAACAAGCACCAACATCCCCCTTTGTTCCAGCTAGATATTGTTTCATTCTAAAAATACCTCCTCCCACAGTGAAGACATTTTAATGTCTTCCTTCCATTTGAATCTACACCCTCAATAACATGTGCCCATGTTATATCAGTTCTACTTCTACTAGATTGTGAAGAAGACCTAGAGCCAAATGTTGACATTGTTTATTTTTAATCTTTATCTACCTGTCACACAAATGATAATAACAATTTAGTATGCCTTTCTTAAGTCTGTTAATATATATTTAATATTATTACACTTGGTAACTTGTAGGTGAGAGATGAACTTGAACATTTGCTGGACGATGACAATGATATGGCTGATTTCAAAGCTATGATACAATGAGAAAAACAGAGAAAACAAAACAATTTACTAAAGACAGTTCTGAAAAGTGTGGCTGAATTTGTTTATAGCTGAACTTCAGTTTTTACTTTTTATACAATTTGTTCTGTGATTTAAGGAATGTAAGAACTGAATTGTCACTGACTAATCCAAATATATCGAGAAATAAAAATACAAGTTCGTATAGATAATTAGATTGAAATTTTAGTTTAGTTTATTGTCACTGACTATATTCAAGAAGCATTTCTTGTCAGTCAAATAGCAGCAATGCAAGTTCAAGTTCTTTTATGTTTCCCATGTAAGTTCCTAATTTACTGATACCTCATTGTTCTCTTGATAAGACAATCACTTAGTTTTCTCATACTTGGGCTTTGACTTGAACAGATTACCCTCAGAATGGAGTGGCAACCCAGTGAGAATGGCGAAAGCTGACAGAAGACAATTGAGAAAACAAAGAAGCTGGAAGAAGTGTTTATGTAGGAAATTCTAAGTGCAATATGTTCCCTTCTTGGTTATTTAGTTGTATAATTGATTCTTTCTTTTACTTTAGATTCGGCGTTGGAATGTACAGTGAAAAGGATCAACAATATCATTTCATGTTCTGATACAAAAAATAATAATAATAATAATTAAAGAAATAACAAGAATTACTCCACCATAAAGCTTTAGTATTGCATCATTATGCTGTCAAATTGTTTCCTTAAAAGAAGTTAAAGAACAACTTGACTTGCTTCACCATTCAAATGAATACCAAGTCCCCACAACTCAACACTCCACTGACCACCAAAGACCGAAAAGATTCAACACACAAGCCTACTTTACTTTAATATATTATGATAAATGCATTAATAAAACAAGTTGAAAACGAAATGGAGTTGTCGTGAATGGTGTGTTTTTTACCTGGATCATTGATGAGAGGAGGAATGGAGCTATCATCGTCGATTTTCAGTAAGGAATGGAGCTATTATCGTTGATTTTCGGCGAGGGAGGAAGGCGTTGTCGCGATTTCAGAGAGTTGATTTGTGATCGATTTCAGCAAGGAATGGTTGCGATTTCAGACTTCGGAGAGTAAAGTTCATTGAGATTGAGTGGTGATTTGTGTGGGATTTCAGATTTTCAGCATGGTGTTAAAATTTTTTTAGAGGATTTTGCGTAGAGAAAGGAGAAAGTGAGAAATTAGGGATTTTTTCCCCTTTTTAGACGTTGGACTGGTTTTTTTTCAAGCAGTCCGGTTGGACCGACGATTCACACTGTTCGCACGGTTCATTGATGGTTCATAACGGGTTATTAAGTAATACCGGGTTTTATATTGATTTGAACCGGACACGTGACCGGGTCTCAGTCCAACCGGTTAGACCGGCCGGTCCAATCCGGTTTTTAAAACCATGGTCCTGACCACTAGACCATGGAGCCTTGTGAGTTGTGATGTTATGTTTTACTTCTGTTAATTGACAATATTTAACATAATTGGTAAAACGTCATTATCCATAATCCCACCCTTCAATTTTCACAAAATACCCTTTTTAACAGACATTAACAGATTAAGGATCCGTTTAGTACGACTTATTCAAGCTTAAGGAAAAGAAGCTTATTAGAATAGAGTTTTTATGAAAAATTTTGTTTGTTGTCTGACTAGAAAAATGTAAAAAAGTTTTATAATATTAATTTATCAAACATGGTTTTAATATTCAACAATAGACTAAGAAGAAATTTAAAAGATTGAATAAAAATATTTTTGAAATTTTTCTACCAAAGGCTGAAGATAAATTGAATTTACAGCATTAATTGGGATACAAGCATCATAAAAGAATCTTGCAAAAGCCATGTCTGCTCTCCACGTCGCTTCTTTTCCAACTAAACAACTCCTAATTGATGGTTGAGATCCAACAATTGTCCTTGGAGCAAAATAGTCACCAACCCCAATAGGTTTTTCTCTTTTGATTTGTCTAGCATTGTACTTTGTTTTTTACTGCCAAACCTACCTTCATTTATGTGAATTTCTGATGGACGAAACTCTTTACTATCTTCATTTAACATATCTCCCTCAAATCTATGTACGGGAGCACCGTAGGGAGTATTATACTTACTAGAATCAACCTTCTCTTTATTCTTTATCCCAATGTCTTTTAGCGATTCTCTCATCAAGTATTGAACATCAAAAGGAACTTTTAAACAAGCACCAACATCCCCTTTTGTTCTAGTTAGATGCTGTTTCATTCTAAAAATACCTCCTCCTCTAGTTACTTTCCCACAGTGAAGACATTTTAATGTCTTCCTTCCATTTGGATCTACACCCTCAATAACATGTGTCTATGTTATATCAGTTATACCTTTACTAGATTGTGAAGAAGACCCAGAGCCAGATGTTGACATTGTCTGTTTTTAATCTTTATCTACCTGTCACACAAGAAATAACAACAATTTAGTATATAAGCTCAAAAAAGTTATAAACAAACAGGTCAACTTAATTTTAGAGCTTATAAGCTAGTTTGACCAACTTATAAGCTTAGACAAACACCCCGTTAATCTCACCTTTAATATATGTGTACAAATGTTGTTAGTAATACCATTTATATACTGAGAAATGGTTACAATGATATGGAAGAAACATAATGAGTAGAGCGAGGGCATGTTTCCATCCAAATATTAGCAAAATAAAAAGTTTTCATCTTTGGTTTTATGTATTCTAGATTCTCACTCTTAAAATAACATCATTAACGATTTTTATTTTCTAATGCAGATGTAAAGGGTGTTATTACTATACTACCATTGACAAATAAATTAAATTAATTTTTAATCCCCAAATTAGTAGAATTAGAAAAATAATCACTTACTTTCAAATTTATTTTAATAACACCATTTTTTTTTCAATCCTCGCATCATCCTCATCTCTAACCACCCAACCACTATCACCACCACCTAGTCTTTGTCGTTAGAAACTCTATCAACTATCACTGAGGCTGCCATGACCAACATCAAACCCAAATCCAAACTTCATACCATGAAATCAAAATACCCTAGATCCAAAAACTAAAACAATTCGAGAATCTAACTGCCATAACCACCTAGCCACTATCGCCACTATCAACCCCTAACTTTCAAAATTTTATTTCAATCCAAACAAACTTCATCACCAACAATCCCAACAAACTCTATCAAATTTATTTAAGCAACCCCCTGCAAATGAGCCATCACCAAATTGCTGACCAAAACAAGGCCAACGACGGAAATCCACAACCCAAACTAACAAACAACCAAAAATCCCCAAGAAGCCTAAACAAACCGATTAAGAAAATCAACCAAAGATCACTGTTTTAAAACCCGGACCGGAGGCCAACCTGCTCTGCTGCCCAAGTCAAGAGTCAATCGGTCCAACTGGTTGGACTGGTGATGTCATCATGCTGCTGATGTCAGCATGATGACGTTAGCACTGCAAAAAAAAAAAAAAAAAAAAACTTTTTTTTTTTTTTTTTTTGAGATTTTAAGATTTCCATATTTTTATATAATACAATAACAACTTAATTAATACCCAACATGATTCAAAGTTCAAATTCAATAACAATCCCAACATAATTTAAGTATTTAACAACAATCCAAAGTCCAAATCCAAACATGATATTGTGTTCATTCATTACATATTAAATGACAAAATACATAATAGTTAATAACAAAACATTTGGTGCAAGTGTTTTTTCTTTGATCCGTCTCCATGTTGATTGAGCTTCACACACTAGCATCAAAATTCATCATCATCATCATCATCACCATCATCATCATCACCATCATCTACATAAAATTCAGTAAAAAATAGAAATCATAAGTTAAAACTTGTAATTTAATTTAAAATAGATACTAAGTTGCTTAAATATTTGAAACCAACCTCTTGAACCATCGGTTGAATCATAAAAAGAAGGGTGATCAGCAACTCCAGCAGGAATAGATCCTTCTCCATAAAACATTTGTTCCAACTCCTCATAATTAAGTTCACTGACCTCATCTTCATCGTCAACTATCCAACCTTCAGTTTTGTTGATACTTTCATAATCAATAGGATCGAAACTTATTTTATTGTAACACCTCCTAAAATACCATAATGAAATATTAAAAGCATGACAAGTGAAATATCAAGGAAAATAATAGATAATAACAATAAGAGTGATGCATAATTGAGTAATTGACAATGTTTTATACCTGTTTTGCAAATGCAAGTTGTAGTGAACAAAAACAAGATTATTCAACCTTTGATGCTCCAATCTATTCCTCTTTTTAGTATGTATGCGCTAAAAAACACTCCAATTTCGTTCACATCTCGAAGAGCTTGAAGTTTGGCTAAGAATTTTTATTGCAAACTTTTGCAAATTTGGAGTACTATACCTAAATGATCTCCACCATTCATCTAATTGAAAATTAAACATAATAAATAAATTAGACATAAAAAACAAAATAACTCATAAATTTTATAACTATTACATACCAGGACATGTGGTTTTGGTGGTTTCAAGAGCAAGCCCACCAGAAAGCTTTCCTCCCAGTTTGAATATAATCTATTCTGTTCCATTAACCTTGTCTTGTTCAAATTGAACGCACTTGCTTTACTATAAATAATATCAAGGAAACCACTAATGACTTCTGGCTTGGCGCAAAAAGATGCTTCGTCATATTTAAAGGTAGGATTCAAATAATAAGCCGTAGCATGGATATCACAGCGCAACGTCCTATCCCAGCGTAGCTTAATGATTCGTGTATCTTTTTGTGCCAAGCTAGAAGTCATGAGTGGTTTCCTCCCGGTTTGAATATAATTTACTCTCTTCCATTAACATTGTCTTGTTCAAATTGAACGCACTTGCTTTACTGTCAATAGTATCAAGGAAACCACTCATGACTTCTTGCTTGGCGCAAAAAGATGCTTCGTCATATTTAAAGGTAGGATTCAAATAATAAGCGGCAGCATGGATATCACAGCGCAACGTCCTATCCCAACGTAGCTTAATGATTCGTGTATAAGACTTGTACAATCTCTTTTTATTCTTAAACAACTTCTTAATTGCATTTTTCGCTCTATAAATGCCATCATACACATATCCTATTGTAGGCATCTCATCTGAGTCAACAATCCGCAACAAGCGCATCAATGGGCTCACAACTTTGGATATCTTAGCCATATCATTCCAAAAATTGTTATCTAGAATTATGCCAATAACATGTATGCCTTTATTACTTTTTGCATATCGAGAATCGACAAACGAAGGCTTGCAAGTCATGTTTGCGCTCATGAAGGCTTCTCATTGCAATGAAAGTTATAGCAAAACGGGTTGCGCCCAGACGGACAATTTCTTTCCAACCCTGCTCAATTGATAAATAATAGGTGTTGGTCAATTATAAAAAATGCATATTATGTTATGACTTGACAAGAACATGAGCTAAAGGTATATTACCTGTCTTTTCCTTAGCCAAGCTATCAAAAGGGTATGATTATATACAAACTTCGTCACCTTAGAAGCACATCTCGCAAGATAAACTATGTGATCCATCTCAGCTATATCTTTTAACACCAAATTTATGCTCTGTGTTGCATAAGGCGACCAAGTAATACTCAGATATTTCTCAGACAACATTCTGCCAGCAACTTTATAATTGGATCCATTGTCTGAGACATAATGGACAATACTATTTGTCCAATCCATAAAGCTACCTCCTCAAACATCTTCAATAATGTCCCAGCATCCTTCACAACATTTGAAGCATCAACTGATTTCACAAAATAAACCCCCTTAGGACAATACACCATAAAATTGATCAATGACCTATGTGAATTATCAGTCCAACCATCAGCTATTAAGGTACATTCAACATTTTCCCAAATCTTTTTGCAACTGTCAACAAGAAGCTGCACTTCCTTCTTAGCATCTCTTAACAAATTGACACGCAAACCATGATAATTTGGGTGTTTATACACAGACCCAATTGCAGTTATAGCATCTACCAAAGGCTGAAGATAAATTGAATTTACAGCATTAATTGGGATACAAGCATCATAAAAGAATCTTGCAAAAGCCATGTCTGCTCTCCACGTTGCATCTTTTCCAGCTAAACAACTCCTAATTGATGGTTGAGATCCAACAATTGTCCTTGGAGCAAAATAGTCACTAACCCCAATAGGTTTTTCTCCTTTTGATTTGTCTAGCATTGTACTTTGTTTTTTACTGCCAAACCTACTTTCATTTATGTGAATTTCTGATGGACGAAACTCTTTACTATCTTCATTTAACATATCTCCCTCAAATCTATGTACGGGAGCACCGTAGGGAGTATTATACTTACTAGAATCAACCTTCTCTTTATTCTTTATCCCAATGTCTTTTAGCGATTCTCTCATCAAGTATTGAACATCAAAAGGAACTTTTAAACAAGCACCAACATCCCCTTTTGTTCTAGTTAGATGCTGTTTCATTCTAAAAATACCTCCTCCTTTAGTTACTTTCCCACAGTGAAGACATTTTAATGTCTTCCTTCCATTTGGATCTACACCCTCAATAACATGTGTCTATGTTATATCAGTCATACCTTTACTAGATTGTGAAGAAGACCCAGAGCCAGATGTTGACATTGTCTGTTTTTAATCTTTATCTACTTGTCACACAAGAAATAACAACAATTTAGTATATACTTGGCATATTAAAACACCAGCATATTATGGGCGCATTCAAGGATTGAACCTAATTAATGCAAATCTACACCGAAAAGAAAGGACAAACATGATAAAAGCTACAAGATCATAAAATTATGCCAAAGAAAAAGAGCAAACACATAAATTAAGTATGATATAGGCCGCAATAGCTTAATGAACAACAAAGAATTCCACTATATTTGAAGTAGTTGGCATACAAGACTGGAGTTCTTGCCATAGCCAACTTTAATGAAGTATAATTATTAGGGACTATGTTTGACGTAAACATCTGTTGCATGCTTCAACACACTAAGTCAATCAAACAAAAAACACTAGAAGGTAGAATAGTTGGCTGAGCTGCTTTCCACAATAAGACGGAATCACATTTTTCAAAAGAATCATTGTTTCCAAATTTCATTGTCAGATAACTTAAAATATAAACTAAAAACTTATATTTTTAAGATAGCTCAAATAATCTAGATATGACTTGTTTACGAATAAGCAATATAAGCTTTGAACTATAAGATAACAGTAGAAATTACACAATTACATAGCTATACAGAGACTTGATGTAGTTTTTCCATAACATAAACTCCCCTATAGACTGATAAATAATCTCTAATTCTCATAATCAAAGATAATGTATTCCTCAAATTATGAGTAAAAACATTGGCATCAGTCAAATGCCCATTCTCACCCACATAATTAATTCAAGATAGACATGACTGGTGAAACAATCTAGATAAGCTATAAATTATTTCCTAACTCATCATCATATAACAAGAACTTAGATACATCAACTAGATCTGCAAAAATGGAAAGGGTCGTGACTCATGAAAAACTTACACTTTTTGAAATGGAGCTATGCTGTTGTCAATTTCCAGTGAGGAATGGAGCTGTCGTCTTTGTCGTCGATTTCCAGCAAGGAATGGATCTGTCGTCGTTGATTTTCGGTGAGGGAGGAAGATGTCATCGTTGATTTCAGAGAGTAGAGTTGCGATTGACACAATGGTTGCGATTTCAGACTTTAGAGAGTGGAATTCATTGAGATTGAGTGGCGATTTGAGTGGTGATTTGAGTGGGTAGCCTAGATTTCAGATTTTTAGAGGATCTTTGCGTAGAGAAAGTAGAGAAATTGGAAAGAGAATGGTGTTACTGTGTTAGGGATTTTTTCCCCTTTTGAAATATTAGACCGGTTTATCAAGCGGTCAGATTGGATCGGTAGTTCGCACTATTTTCCCGGTTCAATGGCGGTTCATAGCGGGTTATTAAATATAACTGGGTTTTATATTAACTCGAACTTGACATGTGACCGGGTCCTAGTCCAACCGGTTGGATTGGCCGGTTCGGTCCAGTTTTTAAAACCATGCCAAAGATATCATGACCGCTGGTTTTCTCACCCAAACTAACATAAATCATCACCCTAAGCCCAATTCCTTTGGCCCTTAGCCTGACCGATCAGTTTCCTTGCCGAACTTGGCCTGTTTTTATGCGAATTTCCCAATCGCATGATCCACAACTCATGCCTGATTTGGGCTGTTCCCGTCTCCATTGGCCTTCCCCAAACTTACTGTCAGAATCCCCACCTTCCATTGACCAAAACCCTCATGGTTCTCGCTTGTCTCCTGCCATCGATCACCGGCTACCATTACATTAGTGTTTCAGATTTCTTAGCTGAATTCCAGTCAATTCTAGTAGTCGAAACTCCCCCCACCACCACCCTGGCATCACCGACGCCTCTTTTTCAAAACCCCTATAACCCCACCTCGCGGCACCTCGCCGATCGACGTCTACTGCTTCATTTGGGTTATTTTTCTTAGTTATTTTGGATTCGATTTGATTGGATTTGGTTTGATTTGGATTTTTGAATGATTGGCTTCGATCGTACCTTGCATTGTTGTAACTCACCACACGATTGAGGAGTTACGGGAGCCGACATGCCATGGTGGGCGGCGACTATGAAAGGGTTTTTGTGTTTTGAATTTGGGTTTACTTGAGTTTACGAATGACCACTTTACCCTTTGACGATTACATAAAACAATTTTCTATTAATTTAAGGGTGAAAATCTGGAATATATGGACCAAGGGTGGAAAGTTGCCATTTTGCTAATCTTTGGGCGGGAACATGTCATTTGCTCGAATAAATATGAAAGATAGCATGGATGTGAATGATAAAGGGTGGAGCTAGCAGCTAGGGTGGCAGCGTGGCTACCCTTGGTGGAAATTTGAGAAATCCTTTTTTTAATCAAATGTCTAGAAGACTAATCCACCAATCATGGAGAATGCCACCAAATCTAGCTGTAAACTGCGTAAGTATAGTAGAGACTTGGGCATTAGGTTTAAGCATCTCAGCTTGTAACCAGGCTTGAAATTTATACATCCGATTTCTCCATTTGTGTGGAGGAAGATCATCAAACAGTAAAAGTGAGGAGCTTTGCTGAAGCTGTATAAGAGTCACGCTCAGCCGTAGTATGACAGGATTGTCGATACATAGGCAGAGAGTCTGGAATTGAATCATCACCTTCAGGCATCTCATCATCAACCTCAGAGACAACAACTGGTCTTGAAGATTTGAGTTGATGGGTCATCATTTGGGGATAAACATGAAGATGTTGATCAGAAGTATCACTTTCAAAGTCAAAGCCACTTTCAAATGATTCATCAGTAGAAGACATATCAGCTTCTGATTCTGTATGGAAGGTAGATAAAGAATCTTGAGAAATACCTGAAGCTGCAAGATGTTATCTTTCTACCAAGTCTTTCAAAAAAGAGCTCATAAAATTGGAAGAGACATGATTTTCTGAAGAGACAGGATCAGCAGAAGTTTGGCGATCTTCCATCATCATTATTTCCACTGGAGCCTTATCCTTAGATAAAGGACGATGAGGCTTAGGAGATGGAGGATCTGAATGACTAGAAGAGAAAGAGTCAGGTATCTGCGTTTTAGCAGAATATTTTTCTCGCTTCTTTTGTTTCCGTTCCAGCTTAATCTTTTCATCATGTTCTTTGTGGAGCTTGGCATATAATTGTTCAGTGTTTCCAAAAGTCTGAACAGCACTAGAAGGTATGTGAGGCGAGACCAAAGGTTGACTAATCTTTGGGAAAGGTGAAAAAAAGGGTTGTGGCCATGCTATTGAAGAATCAAAAGGATTTGGCACCAAAGACATTTCAGGAAAAGTCTGTGGTTGTCTGAGTTTTTGCTTAAGACATTCTTGCTGAAGCGATGCCATTTGGGTTTTTAGGGACTTCATTTCTGCTTCCTTCTGGAGAAATTGAGCTGAATAGCCATGAGAGGTGCTGACAATGAGTATTAATTCCTGATAGAGCTGATCAATCCGGTTTTGGAGCTGATCAATCTGGTTTTGTAACCGAGAAATCAGCATAGTGTGGTTCTGAGACTGAGAGTCCATCTGATGAGCTACCAAATCCAATTTTTGTTCAATTCTATTAATGGTTTTGTTTTGGGCTAAAGCATTTTCAGTCTGCCAATTGAGAATTGCTTCAGCTTGGGAGAGTTTTGGCGTGGATTCATCAGGCTATATGACTTTGGAAGAAACCATTTTTGGTTGTTGAGTCGCAATTTCTTTAAGAGAAGGAAAGTCTGTGTCATAATTGAAATTTTGTCTTGTCTTTTGGGGTTTAGGAGATTGAATCATCATAATGGACTGGACATGTGGAGTATGAACAAGGGGTGAACGGGTTGGTTTGTTTTCTTTTGCAATCCACTGGAGAGCTTGCTGATAACATGGTAAAGGTTTTTTAAAGTAAGATGATTTAACAGGTTTGGATAGTTTTAAAGGTGATTTGAGTTTAGGTTTAGGTTTTGGAGGGATTTCCCATGAAGGTGTAATGGATGGTGATTCTTTCTAGGTCGATGGAGAATATTTGACATAATAGTCAAATTTACCAGATGGTTAACCAAGAAGGCCAACTTCAGGATCATGGTCTTCAAATATGGAGTGAAGATCTTTTTTTACTGTATCGAGCTGTCTGTTTTTTCCTTCTGGAAAGGTTTCGTCTAGAAAGATAATGCTCGTCTATTTCCCAAATAGGATCATCACGGCAGTCCGAGCATTGGCAGTCAAGATCAAATGAAGTGTGACCAGTGACTGGATCAAATTGATGATAGACAGGAGCTATTGAAATGAATGAATGGAAAGTCCAGGTTCCCGAACTACTGTAGCTGGTGAGACTGAAGTGATCATGAATTGAGTTTGTCGAAAACTCAAAGGTGGAGCATTGGGAGTTGTTGGAGACTTAAATCTGATAGTTGTTGTTCCGTAACTGTTATCATGCATGGTAGTTTATGTAAAAACCACTAGAGTTTCTTTTTTATTAAGAGACTCATAACTCGTCACCCAAGAGTTTGGTAAAAATTTAATCAAATAATGTTTGGAAATCTGCCTGGGAATATTGATGCAGTAAGGAGTATTCTGAGAGTCAACAGTAAGGAGCAGCACATCAGTAGTCGTAGGAATAGCGAGATCAAGAGCATGGTCTTGGATCCGCCAAACCATCTAATAATGCAAAGTAGCTACAATACTTCCTGGATTTAAATCTGCACCAACTATCTGTAATTGAACTTTAAGAGCTTTGGAGCAATGAACATCAGAGAGAGACATATTGAAATTAGGAAACAATGTCATTATGACTGTCCCAGCATTCAAAGTTGTCTGCGCCGTTCCTATGCAAGCATGTTGCTATTAGACAAATCTGGTGTCTAACAAAACGATTCGGACAGAAACTGGGAGTCCTATTCTACCATAATAAGATAGAGTTAGCCT